GCCCTCCAAGATTGTTTCCTTATTCGCCATTCTTGTAACCTACGTGTAGCAAGTAAAACAAACTACATGCTAAGCATACACGATGAGTGAGAGGTTCTAACAGTAGAAGTCACACATAAGATTAATTCAATTTACATAATCATTTATAGGATTTCATGCACAAGTAATATCGCATAAGAACATCAAATAAAATCAACAACATAACAAGTTACACTTCATGTTACTTACCTTGACTTTTTAGCTGCATTAGTTATCAACTCAAAATTTATGTTCTTACAATAAGACATCTCTGACACTTGCTCATAACCTATTCTAGACTAAGGCTATTTTAAATAATAGTGTATATACAACACATTAGAATACAACACGACTTTACCAATGAAGGAGTTCTCTGCTAGGTAAGTGATACCCCTATCTCCTTTAGAACGAGAGTTTATGGATCCCGTACGTATGTTTTAACTTCTAGCTATCAGATTTCAAATCTGCAATGCTGATTTTACGTATTGACATTTGCACTTACAATCTCACTAGAGTAGTCCTAGAGTTCCTACAGGCAACCTATTTGTTTATTTACAATAGCTCTACATATTCAAGTTTATACCACCATCGATCCTCAGCTCACTATATTCGTCCAAGGCATGCATATCCAAATTATATTTAAAAAGATAACAAGAGTGTAACAACAATTAGATAAATCGTCACATAGTACATATATTGGCCTAGTGTTGGGTGTACACACCTTCCACTTACTGTCATGCAACACACAAGGTCTCGAAATCTATCTGTGACTTAATGGGAGCACCAAACAAGCAAAAGAGGTCCAATAGCGCCTGGTACAATACCTTGGTACAGCCTCACGTTACCTTGGTACCGTCCGGTTACTTTGAATGACCGTGACATTCACTGTGGCGGTTATCGGTAACCATTAAGCGGTAGCTGGTAACTGTTAGGCAGTAGCCGGTAGCCATTATGCGGTACCAGACTAACATTATATACAATCTTTATGAAGATTCTAGCATAGAAACAAGAATATTTTGAGTAGTAAAACATACCTGGACGGCCTTCATCGATCAACCAATTCAAATAAAATCATAATTAAACAATCATAATCGAATAATTCACATAAACTAACTCACTTCGATTATCAGATGAATAAAATGAAACAAATCAATGGTCGTATAAGCAATGGAGAAGAGGACAATGATGAAGCTGGTGGCGTCCCGACAGGTGTCTTTTCCAGTGATGAACCCGTGGTTTTTGCTTCCTCTCGCAATTGATTTTCTCCCTGGTTTTTTTCTTCCTTCACAATGTTTTTTATAATTTGTATGCAAATCCTTCAGCGTATATGTTTATTCATATAATAGTAGGGGTTTGGGTTTTCTTTTTACTATACACTTATGAGTAGGATTTAGTTTTTAGAAAGTTTAGGTTTAGTTTTTATCATTATTTTATTATAAAATCTTTTTGTTTAATTATTCCACTGTAATATCTATTTTGCACATAACTTATAATACGTAAGTCAAAACTTAACAAACTTTATACCGTTGGTCATCTTTTCATAAGATCTACCTAACGATCCAATTTTGAGTATATAAAGGTTGAATTCACAAATAATTTATATTTTTGAGTCAAAAAATAAAGATTATATTTATTTTTATCAAAATAATGGCTAACTACTAACCCCGTTTTCAGGGCGTTACATGGACGCTACAAAGAAGTCTTCATCCAACCATGAGATGTGTGGCCTTTGCGTTATCTTGTTGGATTATTATATCCTCATTTACGTGTATTGGCCATTTTGCTTTGGTTGCAGAAAGAACCTTGTAGAGTAGCATGTCTTTCGTAACTATATGAGTTACACTAATTAAGTACTACCTTTGTCTCCATAATTCTTGTTTCCCTGATTTTGCTTTTCCTTTTTGTTTCCACAATCTCAATAAAAAGGGAGAATATCAATCTTTCCATCCCAAATATCATGTTCATTCTCCCCTAGTATTGGCCTATCAATTGTACCTAGGAACAAACCTTAGTTATGAACCTTTTCGACTTAAAAGTCCTATCACGGTCAATCTCATCCAAAGGAAAATAGAACTTCTGAGAAGTACTTGACATAAAAATGATTTCTCGTCAATGTGAATAATTTAGAAAGACTTTTGAAAGTGGGATGTGTGGCCAGTGTCTCGGGATTTATTTGATCTATGATAATTTGTAATCTTTTTTTGTTACCCTCTCTGAAAATGGATTAATTTCATTTGAGTGTCGACAAAGCATAGCTTCTTTTACGATTTCATGCATTCTTTACTTGGGGATGCCCATTCAAGTGGCCAATAATTGGATATTTGTCCTCATACGAAGAGGGATATTTGATATTGAGCTTAAATGAACAAAAATGCATTTTCTTCCAGCATTATCTCGCCCCCTACTGTCCACGTTGATCGACAAATCTTCCTTGATTTGTTTCTTAGTTGTTCCCTATATGGATGAAATAGTTTTCCGTGAAACATTCACTACGTCAAAAACAGATGCTGACAACTGTTTATTTTAGTAGTCTATAATTGATGTTTTTAGTAGTCTTCCGAGCAGCTGTCTGATGGGATGCTAGACCTCGGTTTAGAACAATTGTGCAAATCAAAATCTGACACCGGTGTTTTGTAGCTTAACACAACTTTGAACATATGTTGTCTGCTCGCGATTGAGTCTACGATTTTGGATATACTCAGACAACAGTTTTGTTGTGTTGTATATAGAAGTTCAGACTACTACTTAAAAACAACTATCTTAATTAATTGTATATAGGCTATTACGACAATGGTTTATTGTAGTTGGGATTGATGCGGTTACACTATGCTTTCCAGGTGTAGTCTAATGTTCTATTAGACAGCTGCTCGGAAGACTACTATAAGTAATTCCATCAAACCTCTGCTACCTTCTGTTGTATGTACAACGTTGAGACTATTACTTTGGTCTTACGTTAAACAACTTTTTTTTTGGTTGTATGCCGTCTATTAACACTCCAGTTTATGTTCGTTGTCCTTTAAACATTGACACTATACTTCCAAACAGTAGTTGAATCTGCTACCAGACAGCTGCTCGGAAGACCACTATAAGTATTTGCTTCAAACAACTATTACGTTGGGTTGTATGCATAATGTTCAGACTATTATTTTGGTCTTATCTTAAACAACTATTTGTTTTAGTTGTACGACATCTATAAACAATACTGTTTTGGATCGTTGTCGTACCACCCATTCAAACAATATTTTGGGACAGTAGTCGAAATTGTTATCAGACAGCTGCTTGTAACACCACTGAAAACATTAGCATTAGAGAACTGTTCTTTTTTGTGGTATATCTAAAACTAAGAATACGATTAGGTTTCATTTCACACAATTGCAAGTACCAGATGTCTAGCAGGTATTACCTCTACTAGTTTATATAGTGGTCCGTAAAATTTTTGTAATATCAAATTAACAGTAGTAAGGCTCCTTGTCAGTCAAGCGTTTATTTGTGTTGCCTATCATAATCAGATGCTTCTGTTTTATGGCGTTGTGTTGCAGATATTCAAACTATTGACATTTGGTGTTGTGCCTCAACCATTCGGAGTGCTGTATTTGGTGGATAACCATGTTTTTTGCATTCTAATACAGTGGTCGTTCAATAACTCATACAACAGAAGGACTGATCAAGAAAGACTGATCAAGAAAGACTTATCAAGAAAAGAAATATAAATTCCCAATACATGATTCAACAATCTAACACAATAAAACATACAACCGAAGTCCAGGGGTAGAACCATTCAAATGGCATTATGACTCATAAAATACTTCGCAAATTCAACCTTTGTTTGATTGATGTCATCCTCGGTGTATTCCAGATTTCCCCGACGCGCCCACTGAAAATCGTAGGAAAAAACCAAATATCTAATAAGCCAATCATAGAAGTGATGAAGTAAATATAGGATGCAACACATAAGAACTGATTTGTATGAAGGC